GTTTTTAAACTAATTATTGTTTATATATTTTTTATCTTTACATTTATTTTGCTCTTAACTTTTTCTCAAAAAGATCTGAACAAAAGTTCAAAAGTGTTATGTATCCAAACTTCTCTTTACCAGATTAGATTGATACTTACTTTGACAAGTCATTTGGCTGATTGATATAAACTGAGTTTTATCACTTGATTCTAGGTCTAAATCAGGCTTCTTTTCTTTCTTTCCTTTTCTCTAAGAGGTTGCTTAAGACCATCTTAACTGTTTTTCTCATTTAGATGCATTCTTTTAATATATGCCATTATCATATTCTTTCTTGCATGACAATATCATACATTAATGTCATTTTATAACTGTGGTTTGTTTCATTTATGAATGTTTTGTTACTTCAATTAGATTGGGACAATTTCAGCCAGAATTATGAACTCAATGAACACAGGTCTGACCCAAAACAACTCATCCTGTATTCTATGGTACATATATCCAATGACAGGAACGTTTTCTACTTCTTTTCATAGTATCCACAACAGCCTGGGATATAGGAAGATAGGATAGTGAAAGAGGAATATAAGAAATGAAGAAAGTGCTTTCTCTGCAGGACATGGGCTTCACCAACATCCAGCTCCTGCAGCAGGTGTGGCTTCCCAAGATTCTGGTTCCAGCAGTGAACAGTGCATAGTAGCACCCAGTGGACAGCAGCTTCCTCCAGAATCCTCTCACCTAGGCATTTTGCACCTAAGTGCTTCAGGTTGATCGGAAGATGGTGGTGAGATAGGTAGGAGCAGAGTCCAATTTCCCCTGCACATGGGTGAAACATCTAGCTGGTCTTCTGAGGAACAGAGTGAACAGCCAAGGGTATCCCAGCATATATGAAGACTGGAGACCAAAAACTGTAGAGAACATTGAAAAATCAGATGATAAGGAGAGTGCTTCAGGACAATAAGGTCCCTGGGACTAGTGCAGTCCCAGGGACCAGGGCAGCTGCAGCCCCAGGCCCAGCGCCCTCTGGGTCTGTTGCAGGATTCTTGAGAGAGAGCCAGGTCAACAGCTCCCTTTCCTGCCAAACAAGGTTTGAGAAGCACCAGGAGGGACCTGGATGCTTGAAGTCACAGGTTGGAATAAGGACAAAGTGGCAAACACACAGGAGTGGTGTGCACCCACTGAGACTGTGGATCCCACCTGGAAAGAGTTGGGCAGTGACGGACCTTGACCTGGTCAGTCCCGGTCTGGTTGGAGAGCTGGGCTATGTGGCGGGCCAGGAGCTTGTTTGGAGTGGTGGGCTTTAATGGGAGGAATTTTTCAAAAAGAAAGAGGCACTCAGCGGCTGTTTGGGGCATACTCCATAGCAGCTGTCCCACTCCACCCGGCCTCCTGCCCCCGTCTGGCCATATTATGCTCACACCTGGAGCCCCAGGGATGGTATGCACTGGATCCCGGAGACCCGGCAGCTGCCTATCCTGTCCCAGCAGCAGAGGCCGAGCACTCACACCCGCAGCCCATGGGACAGCTGCACCTGACCACCAGGCCCAGTGGCTGCCAGTCCTGCCTCAGCCGCAGAGGCCTAGTGCTCAGGACCTCAGCCACTAGACGGAGCACTCCTGACCCTGCCGCCCAGAGGCACCTCCCACCGGCCCTTGAGCCCAGAGCCCAGCAGGGCTGCCAGGCTCTGGAAGAGGAAGGCAGAGACCACCCCCCACCCCCCACCACAGAGGAGAGCTGCAGGGTTCAGGGAGTCAGCAACCCCCAGAAAGACAACTCAGTGGGGCACTGAACTACCCTGAAGGGGCTCTGAGAGTTCCTAGTATCTAGGACAGCAATGAGCGAGAAGGTGGTGTGTGAGTTGCCCCTAACTCGTGTACCTCAAGGAGAGTGTAACTGGTGGACTGAAGGGTAGGTTGTGCACAAAAGGGAACTGGGTGCCTGGCAGTGAATTGAGGAACTGGGTTGGAGGCTGGGCAACTAGGAACAGTGCAGCACAGGAAGGGAGAAAAGCAAAACCTATCCCCTCCCTCCCCCCCCAGCCTCCGGCATCCAGGAAGACAGCAGAACTGGCTTGGCTGGTTTAAAGCCAGCAGGAGGTTTAAAAAAAATTTTTTTTAAAAATTCCTTCATTTCCTTCCTTCTTTCTTTTTTTATTCCTTCTTCAAAGACCAGACTTAGACTCCAAGAGGGGTCATCCCAACAACTGTGAGAGTGAGACAAAATTCACTTTGCTACTACAGAGAACTTGCAAGTTATTGTATTATTATTTTTGTATTATTTGTATTATTATTTTTTATAATTTGTATTATTATTTTTGTATTATTGTATTATTTATTTGTATTATTATTTTTTCATTATTCTTACATCTTTTATTTTATTACTATTTTTAGATTTCTCTTCTTTCTGTTTAGTCTTCTTTGTTTGGTTTGTTAAATTACATTGTTTGACTGGTTTCCCCTGTTCTCTCTTTCATAGTGTATTTTTAATTTTCTGTCTTTCACTTCACTTGTGTTCCAATAGCACACTACTCTATGTCCTGTACTACCAATTCTTGTTATTCAAATCACATAGATTCTGTCATATGATTGTTGCTCCATTACTATTGTAAATAGTTGCTGTTCCATACAATTGTAAATACTACACAGCACCCCTCCTGGATCTTAGCTCACTTCACTGTTTCCTGAACTTTATTACTGTAATGGTTAACTCTATTCTCTTGCATGCTACACCTATTTTCTATCCTTTACTCTCACTTTACCTCATAATCTAACCTTTCACAAGCTCACTGCTTTCTAAATCCAACTCACAATCCTTTACCCCCCCTACTAAGAGTCTTATCTTTTTTCCACCCTTTCTAAAAAATGGCTAGTTGGGTGAAATATCATGGTTAATGCTATCCATATCAAAAGGATCTCCTATCTCTTCTCTACAGGTTGTTACTTTAAATACCATACAATACAATCCCACTGTCTTAAACCATTTTGCCTTCAACAAATGGTGCTAGGAGATCTGGATAGCTACACACAAAAAAGTAAAACCCGATCACCAACTTACACCATACACAAAAATAAATTCAAGGTGGATAAAAGACTTAAATATAAGTCATGACACCATAAAAGTCCTAGAGGAAAACATCGGCAGGAAAATCTCAGACATTCCACGCAGCAACATCTTCACTGATATGTCCCCTAGAACAAGGGACATAAAGAAAAGAATAAACAAATGGGACTTCATGAAATTAAAAAGCTTTTGCATGGCTAAAGAAAACAGCATTAAAATGAAAAGAAAATCAATTATATGGGAAAACATATTTGCCAATGATACCTTGGACAAGGGCTTGATCTCCAAAATATATAAGGAACTCACATGACTCCATTCCAGGAAGACAAAAACCCAATTAAAAAATGGGCAAAAGACTTGAACAGATACTTCTCCAGGGAAGATACAGAGTCACAGACGTATGAAAAGATGCTCAGCATCACTACCCATCAAAGAGATGCAAATTAAAACCACAATGAGATACCACTTCACACCAGTCAGAATGGCCATCTTAAACAAATCAACAAACAAGTGTTGGAGAGGATGTGGAGAAAAGGGAACCCTAGTGCACTGCTGGTGGGAATGCAGAGTAGTGTAGCTGCTGTGCAAAACACTCTGGAATTTCCTCAGAAAACTAAAAATGGAACTGACTTTTGACCCAGCAATTCCACTGCTGGGATTATATCCTAAGAACCCCGAAACACCAATCCAAAAGAACCTATGCACCCCAATGTTCATAGTAGCACAATTTACAATAGCCAAGTGCTGGAAGCAACCTAAGTGCCCATCAGTAAATGAGTGGATCAAAAAACTATGGTACATTCACACAATGGAGTACTATGCAGCAGAGAGAAAGAAGGAGCTCCTACACTTTGGGACAGCATGGATGGAACTGAAGAACATTATTCTAAGTGAAATAAGCCAGGCAGTGAGGGACAAATACCATATGATCTCACCTTTAACTGGAACATAATCAACAAAAGAAAAAAGCAAATAAAATATAACCAGAGACATTGAAATTAAGAACAATTTAACAACAGCCAGAGGGGAGGGGGAGGGGAGGATAGGGGGAAGAGTTTTCAGGAACAACTATAAAGGACACTTGGCTGGGGGGAGTGGTGGGGGAAAAGTGCAGACAACTGTAATTGAACAATAATAAAAATAATTAAAAAAAGAAATGAAGTACTTAACAATTGCAATGCTTACTTAATAGTGAATGATAAATGCATACACCAGGAGGGAAGGGGTGAGATGCCAAATCTTTTGGTACATCAATCGAAGACAAGTTGAAATTGTATTTCACAGTAAAAAAAGGTTTAACAAATTAACTTAAAAAAGAGCAAAAGATAAAGAAACTCTATCAGTAAATCCTAGGTATCAGTGGTTTAGTCTATTGACACAGAGTAGGCCCCCTATTAACTGTAATTATGTCCTCTATTACATGCCTCTGTTTGGAGGCATGTAGTAGCCTCCAGGTTTTTAAATCTTTGTAACTGAAGGAAATTTTTGCACCCCTAAAGACACCCTTAGTCATCTCTTCATAATTAACTACATAGGACTCCCCCTAAGGGGCAGATGAAAGAAATCTTTGTAACTCTGTGACATCTGGCTTAAACTGTGGGATTCCTAATAGTTCTATTGTACTTACCCAACTTACTGGTGAATTAGGATTCCCAGGGAATGGTGTTTTGAAAGCCCCATGGTTAATGTCAAGTACCCCAAATACAATTTTATTTCTTAATATTTATTTTATGACAATAATATAAATAGAAACACTTAGACAAAGCAAATATTCAATGTTCTGAATTACATGGTTAGAATCTAGAAACACAAATGGGAATGTGATATACAGATTTAAATTAAGAGTTGTGACTAATTAAATCTTTCTTAAATTAAGATGAGTCCAGCATCCCACAGCATTCCACATTAGAGATCTGTACTCTTAGAACATTAAGAAATGGTAGAAATAAAAAATGCTTTACCATTTACAGAGTTGTAGAACACTGCTCTTGTGCTTTTCACACTGCTGGCACTGCCCACAGAGCCTCCAACATCCCATAATTCTATATAGTAGGTCTTCTCTTCTGGGGTTCCTTCTTTGTAGTCATGAACCTAAAGAAATCAATCCATAAAAATAATTATTATAGCCACTTAGCAAACTGGTAAGCACCCTCATTCTAGTTTAAAGCATTGGACATTGCATATCATTATCTCAAGCTTTCTCCCTCTAATACTCCAACACTAATTATAATCTTTGACCTCTCAGGACTCTATATGTACTTAATTGATCCTAACACCTTTCGTAGCTTCCCCTTCTACTTCCAAATCCTCCTTTCCTGACTAAGCATAAATTCCATGATTTGTCGTTTTAGTCACTGCTTTGTCCCCTCTCACACTGTATTCACCTGACAAAATATCAACCCTAATTACATCCACCTTTTCCCTGATTTCCATGTCTACAACCCAGGTAGCTGAATGTGAAGCTCAGAAAAATACACATTCAAACTGACTGAATTCATTTTAAACTCAAGTGTACCTTTGGAGCTGTCTTTCAGTCATTGCATACAGTTCATTTCCTCTTTTTCTCTCCTAGATATGTCTCCTCTTTTTAAAAATTTCAATATCCCTTCCTTATCCTCAAACACAGCTAATTACCTTGCTTCCTGACAGAAACAATCAGAAGAGGACTTCTACAACCTGTTCTCCCCATATCCGTCCTTCTCCCTGCATTTGTACCTATATAATCCACTTTCTTTCCAGCTGTGAGAGATAGGCTGTCTGTGTCCCTAAGGCATGAGATCCTATCTCATCTTTCTGGTCAAAGTGGAGCTCCTCTCATCACCAAACTTTCCCTTTCAGTTGGGTAATTTCCACCAGTGTATTAACATGCCATAATTTTTCACATAATTTTTTAGAAAAAAAATAACCTTCTACTTCCTCAAGCTACTATGCCACTTCTCTGTTTCATTATTTACTTGTTTGTTTATTTACATTGTATTGTGTTTTCTTTCTTTTCTTTTCTCTCTCTTTCTTTTCTTCATATTGTATGTATTCACCACCCAACATCAAGTCTCTTTCCATCACCATTTATCCCTCCTTTACCCTTTTCTTCTACCTTTCCCTCTGGTAATCACCATATTGTTGTCTATGTCTAAGAGTTTTGTTGTTTTTTTTTTTGCTTAATCCCCTTCATCTTTTTCATCAGTGCCCCCAGACTTCCTCCCTTCTGACAACTGTCAGTCTGTTTTCTGTATCTATGAGTCTGTTTCTATTTTGTTTTTTGTTCATTAGATTCTACATATAAATGAAATCATGTGGTACTTGTCTTTCTCTGACTGGCTTATTTCACTTAGCATTATACGCTCCAGGTCCATCCATGCTGTTGCAAAAGGTAAGAATTTCTTCTTTTTCACAGCTGAGTAGTATTCCACTGTATAAATGTACCACGGCTTTTTTATCCACTCATCTACCATGGACACTTGGGCTGCTTCCAAATCTTGGCTATTGTAAATAATGCTGCAATGAACATAGGGGTGCTTATATTCTTTCAAATTAATGATTTGGGTTTCTCTATTCCTTTTTATAGTGAAAGTCCTCCAAAGGACTTTTGAGTCTATTCTCAACTGTCTCTAATTTTTTTCCTTACATTCTGTTTTGAACTCATTCTTGTCACACTTTTGCCCCAATCACCCTACTGAATCATTCCTTATCAGGGTCACCAATAGCTTCCACATTGCTAAGTCCAGTGATCAGTGAACAATTTTCAACTTACTCTACCATTTGACACAACTAATCATTCCTCTGGCTTGCAATACTTTCTTCATTTATCTTCCAGGATGCTATACTCCCCTGGTTTTCTTCCCACCTCACTGGCTAATCCTTTTCAGTCTCCATATGTGTTGTCCTTATCTGTCTATTCTCTAATTGTTGGAGTGTCCTAAGGTTTAGTTCTCAGATCTCGTTTCTTCTCAGTCAACACTTGCTATCTTGACAATTTCATCTAATCTTATAATTTTAAATGTCACTATTATGTTGATGAATTCCACATTTTTATCCATCTTGGACCAGTTCCTTGAACTTCAGACAACCACAGCCAACACACTACAATTTGGATGTTTAATAGATACAATGTAGGCCAGCAGTAATTGGCATGAAACACTGAAGTAATGAAAAGCAAGGACTTGCAACCAAGACTACTCTACCCAGCAAAGCTCTCATTTAAAATGGAAGGCAATATTGGGTATAACATGTAAGACCTGAACCCATAAAAATCACAGAAGAAAATCTACACAACAAAATTTTGAACACTGCAAATAGCAATATTTTATTGGATATATCTCTCCAGGCAAAAGAAACAAAATGAAAAATAAACAAATGGGACTACATCAAACTAAAAAGTTTTTGCACAGCAAAAGAAAACATCAACAAAATAAAAATGGAAAGACAATCCATAGAATTGGAAAATATATTCACTAATACATCTGACAAAAGGTTAATATCCAAAATTTATTTAAAAACTTACAAAAATCAACATCACACACAAAAAAAACAATAAAAAAAATGGGCAATGGACCTGAATAAACACCTCTCCAAAGAGGACATACAGATGGCCTATAGACATATACAAAGATGCCCAGTGTCACTAATCATCAGAAAAATGCAAATTAAAACCACAATGAGATATCACTTCACACCTGTCAGAATGGCTATCATCAATAAATCAACAAATAAAAAGTGCTAGTATGAATGTGAAGAAAGGGGAACCTTTTTTTACTGTTGATGGAAATACAGATTGGTATAGCCACTGTGGAAAGCAGTATGGAGATATTTCAAAGAATTAAAAATGGATCTGCCTTTTGACACAGCAATCCCACTTCTGATAATACATCTAAAGGAACTCAAAACACTAATTTAAAAGAACATAGTACCACTATGTTCATTGCAACATAATTTACAACTGCCAAGATATGGAAGCAGCCCAAGTGTTCATCAGAAGATGAGGAGATAAAACAACTATGGCACATTTATACAATGGAATACTGCTTGACAGTAAAAAAGAAGAAAATTTTACCCTTTGTGACAGCATGGATGGACCTGGAGAACATTATGCTAAGTGAAATAAGCCAGAGAAAGACAAATACCATATGATTTCACTCACATGTGGAATCTAATTAACAAACTGAACTAACAAGGAAAACAGAGACAGATTCATAGCGGGATGACAGCGAAGGGTGGGGGAGGTTAGCTGAGAGAGGGATCAAGCAAAAGGGAAAAGGACCTCATGGACAAGGACAATCAATAGTGTGGTGACTGTATGGGTGGGGAGGGTGTATAAGGGGGCTAAATGGTAATGGAAAAAATACAATAAAAATTAAAAAATATATATCATCACAAAAATATTTAAAAATGGGAGAAATTACTATGAACAATTATATGTCAAGAAATTGGACAACCTGGGTAAAATGATAAATTTCCAGAAAGATTCAATCTTCCAAAACTGAATCAGGAAGAATTAGAAAACCTGAATTGAGTGATAACAAGTAGTGATTGAAGAAGTGATCAAAAAAGTCTTGGCACACAAATGCTTTGGACCAGATGGCTTTACAGGCAAATTCTACAAATCATTCGAAGAACTAATACATATCCTTCTCAAACTATTCAAAAAAAATTCAAGGAGAGGGAAGATCTTCACACTCTTTTTACGAGGCCACTGTTATACTAATTCCAAAATCAGGTGAAGACACAACAAAGAAAAAAAATTATAGTCAGTATCTCTGATGAACACAGATGCTAAAATCCTCAACAAAATATTAGATAACTGGATCCAACAATACATCGAAAAGATCATACACTATGATCAAGTGAGTTTTATTCCAGAGATGCAAGGATGGTTACAATATCTACAAATCAATAAATGTGATGCATCACATAAACAAAATGAAAGACAAAAATCACACGATTGTATCAATAGATGCAGAAAAAGCATTTGATAAAACCCAGCACATGTATATGATGAAAACACTCAGCAAAGTTGGAATAGAGGGAACATATACCTAAACATAACAAAGGTCAAATATGAAAAACCTACTGCCCATATCATAATTAATGGGCAAACTAAAAGCATTTCTCTTAAGATCAGGAACAAGAAAGGGGTTTCCACTATCACCACTCTTCTTCAACATAGTGCTGGAGGTCCTAGATACAGTGATAAGACAAGAAAAAAAAAAGGCATCCAAATTGGAAAAGAAAAAGCTAACTGTCATTGTTTGCAGATGATATGATATTAAACATAGAAACCCTATAGGCTCCACCAAAAAACCACTAGACCTAATAAATGAATTCGGTGAAGTAGTGGGATACAAAGTCAATATTCAGAAATCAATGGCATTTTTATAGACCAATAATGAACTATTATTAAAGAGAAACTAAGAAAACAATCTCATTTACTGTTGCAACAATAACAAAAAAGTACCAGGAATAAATTTAACCAAGGAGGTAAAAGACCTGTACTCAGAAAACTATAGGGCACTGAAGAAAAAAACTGAGGAAGATACAAGTAAGTAGAAGCATATATTCACGGATTGGAAGAATTAACGTCATTAAAATGTCCACATGCCCCAAAGCAATCTATAGATTCAATGCAATTCCTATTAAGATACCAATGGTATATTTCACCAATAAATGTTCCAAATAAAACAAATGTTCCAAAAATTTATATGGAACCAAAGATGACCCCAAATAGCCTCAGCAATCTTGAGAATGAAGAATAAAGTTGGAGGGATCAACAATACCTGATATCAAACTATACTACAAGGCCACTGTAATCAAAACAGTCTGGTACTAGCATAAGAACAGACACAAAGACCAATGGAACAGAATAGAAAACCCAGAAATAAATCCATTAATTGTCTTTATGGTCAATTAATATTTGACAAAGGAGGCAAGGGCATAAAATGGAGTAAAGCCAGACTCTTCCATAAATGGCATTGGGAGAACTGGACTGATACATGCAAAAAATTGGAACTAGACCATCATCTTACGTCATACACCAGAATAAACTCAAAATAGATTAAAGATTTAAATATAAGTTGAGATACCATAAAAATCCTAGA